ACCAGGGTAGCTAGTTGGTTTTATGATTTATTTAGTTATTTTTGTAGCATCTTACTATAGCCCAGACTTACCTGGAGCTTGTGGTATCTCAGGTTGGTCTTGAGAGACCCTTACCTCAGAATGCTTGGATTACAGGCATGACCCAACACACCCAAGCTTCCCTCTGTGCTTTGTATAAAAGCTGACTCTTGGCTTTCACTTCTGGGCCTGTCAAAATCCACTCTTGGCCTGGAGTACAGTCCTGTAACCCCAGTTTCTAGTAGGCTGACGATAGAGGATCATAGGCTCCCTGAGTAACTTAGTAAGACCCTGTCTCAAACTAAAAAGTGGGAATATGAGTCTTGGAAATGGAGTTAAAGGTCCATGGCAGAGATTCTGGTTTCCATCTCTGGCACACAGAAAAGACTCATAACAATAACAACAACAAAGATCCAGGTATGGTGGCACAGGCCCTTACCCCACAACCAGGAGGCAGACCTAACAGATCTCAGTGAGTTCCAGGCCAGCCTGGTCTGCATAGTGAGTTCCAGGAAAGCCAGAGCTATAGATGAAGACCATGTCTCAAAAATTAATGAATAAATAAATAGTAAATGAAAAGGAAGTTCATATGATTTGTTTCCATTGTGGAATGTCACTCAGGATTAATTGATGTCCTAAAGCCACAGTCACTCAAATTGGGATTATAACAAATATTTTATTACCATTTTAGAAAGTTCATATTTTTATGAAGCTACAGTTTGATAACACACACACACACACACACACACACACACACATACACAAACACACAAATGGAAAGAGACAAGAAGGATAGCATGATAAATAAATATGGGTATTTGATTTTTTAATTCAAAATCTCAATCAGCCAGGCTAGCCTAACTCAACCTGTGGCAAAGATGGACTTGAACCCCTTCTAGTGCCTCCATCTCCCAAGGGTTGGAATTGCCAGTGCTAGGATTACAAGTCTTTGCCAGTATGCAGGGCTTCTTGGTATTTTTATGATAGAATGAACAGTATAGAAGCTGGAGGGACAGTCCAGCTGGTAGACAGCCTGTCTAGGGAGCAGGAAGCCCTGAGTTTGATCTTCCTCATCAGATGAGCTGGGCCTGTAATCACAGCAGCTGGGAGAGGGAAGCCCAGAAGTTCAAGGTCATCCTCAGCAGTGCTTCAGTTGTGAGGAAAGCCTGGAATACAATAGGCCTATCTCAATAAACTAACTTCTCTGGCTTTCCTGGAACTCACTATGCAGACCTGGCCGTTTATGGATGTAATCCCAGAATTCAGAGGAGGCCTGCCGTGAGGGCTAGGCCAGTGAGATGCCAAAATTTGTTGTAAAAATCAAATGAGTGCTCATCATGATGTATTTCTGACATTTTCAGACTCGTGGCTTATTTTTAAAAGTTCACAAGTTAAATGGGGGAGAGACTTGTGGGATGGGGCATTGGAGAGTGAATACACAACCACCCCCACAGCATCTGGAAGTGAGGGGAAATACCAGGTCTGACAGACAGACAGCTAAGAGAATGAAACTGCAGTCTGAGTGTAGGATTGCACAAATTCTCCTCAACATATATGCATATAGTCATAAAAATCCTATGAAGGTTCTATCTAAATATCTCTCCCAATATTTAAAGAATTCAGTGTCTCCCTGGTCATTGAAAAATTATTGCCAAACTCTAAAAGCTGATCACCAACCCACAATGGATACTCCCTTACCCTCTCCAACACTCAACAACTAAAGCAAAACTATTCTGCTTCTCACCTAGCCTTGCTCCCAAACCTAACACAGAAGGTCAACTCACGGCAGCTCTACTGAGGCTCTCTTTTTCCACCAAACAAATTATTTCTTCAAATATTTTTACTTTGCAAATGACAAAGTCAAGGAAGAAGACTGAAAATATATCTGTGGCCTCACCTCACTGGTCCCATTTCCATGTTATATAATATTACATGTTACTTACAGACATGAGCCTAAATATACAAATAGGACTTAATCTAAAAGTACTGGATTATTGGATTATTTTCTACAGGTTTTTTCTTTTTTCTCATGTCAACACTGCTTTAATATCTCATCTAAGATAGCCCATTATTCCAGTCTACATTCCAAGAATCCAAAGAGCTCTCTTGGATGCTGTTGCCTTAATGTCTAGAGACTCGCTCCCCTCCCCTCAATGTCCTAATGTCCCACATACAATCACACATAAACCCATATATATTTCCATATGGTACAGAAACTCCAAGGAGGACTATCCTGATTGTTTCTCTCCAGCATGAGTCTGCAGAAGACTCTCCTTACCACTTAGCTAAGAGAGCGACAGCTTCTTCTTAGAGTCTCTCCTTCTAACCCTCTGCTGCTGCTGAACTCTTCCAGAGCTGCTGATGGATAAAGACAAGTCTCATTTGTAACTCCATCCTTATCTCCAGGCCACACCTTCAAGTGTTTTGTTTGAAAATTGAGTCTCTCTAGATTTACAATCTGTTACCAGATAGAATCTATGCACTCACTTAAGGAGATCTTAAGAAAATAATTACAATAGAACTCAGGAAGCAGAGACAGGTTGATCTTGTGAGCTCCCATTCTCAAAAAAAAAAAAAAAAAAAAAAAAAAAAAAAAAAAAAAAAAAAAAAAAACCAACCAAGAACTAAAGTGTTGGTGGGATCTCTCTACAGTCTCAGCAGAGGTCTTCATTGGAGTTCAGATTTTAGGCCTGGAGATCATGCTGACTTTAATATGGCTCCAGAATAAAGGGAATTTAAATGCCTGAACCAATTTCTCTACTTGCAGATGAAATAAACTGAAAGGCAGAAAGAAGAACAGAATATAGATAGAGCCCAGTGAGGGTCCTGGTGCAGAGGCAGAAGTGAAAGCTGACTAATTATACCCACTGGTCTGCTGATCAACTAACACCATCCTGATAAACGTTGATTTACAGCCCATGCTAAGAGTGGAACAGTGTAAGCAATTGAAGCTAGAGTCTCTATTTGCAGAAGTGTAGGAGGAGAGGCTGCCAGCTTCCAAAACTGAGCTTCTCCATGCCCTAACCCCCCTTTAAGTGTACTAAGTGACCTATGCGGGCTTCTAGACTTGGGTACTTGTGCAAGACAGGAAGCTAGATGTGATCTTTTTCTCTTCTGCCAACTAGAAGGTGCTACATTGTTCAAAACAAAATGTTTCCAGAAGGTTTTGTCACTTGGCAGGGCTTCCTCATCTCCCCAAACCAAATAAATAATTAAATAAACCATGCATGGACTTCTTAAAGATACTGGGGACAATGTCACACATCTGCTTGGGCTAAAACTTCTCCTGGACCATCAGCATCTGAGTGGCTGTAAGATGCTGCCCCCACACCCATTCAGAGAAAGATAGAGGAGTCAGGGAGATTTAAATATTAGGTTTTCCCAAAAGGACTTAGGATAATCATTCCAGTTTGGACTGGGAGTGTTGTTGTTTTGTTTTGTTTTTTTCCTTTCTTGTCTTGAGACAGCATGTCACTATGTAATGCAGGCTAGCCTGAAACTCCTATGTAGCCAAGGATGACTATAAACTTGCCATCCTCTTGCCACCCCATGTGCTAGGATCACAGGTGTGTGCCACCACACATGGGTTTCTGCTGTGCTGAGGATCCAACCCAGAGCTCCATGCATGCTTGGCAATTACAATAAACCTGGCCTACATCCACAGCCAGGATGGTCATCTTACAAAGAACTGTCTACACTCAAAACAAGATGTTTCACAGTCCCTGTGCACCAAGTGAACTGCCCATGCCAGGAGAGCTATATAAACTGTGTGCTAAGTCTTGCCAACCTACTCTGAATTTGTCCCTTTTAACAGTGTTGAATCTGGTTATTAACAGTGCATATTTATTCAGGATGGCAACTTTTTATTGGAACTCTGTGGCCTGAAAATAATTCCAGGAATTATAATTTTTTAAAAAGCACAAAACAACCTTTTCCATAAGAACCCATTTTGGCAAAAACATGAGACAATGACAACTTATTCATTTGCATTTGTCTAGAGGTGGAAATGTCATCCACCAGACTTTCTTAGTGTTTTCTCAGATGGAGAAGCAGGCTGAAATAGGACTTTTCGTTTAAAGGAATAGGTTTTTATCTTTTTTCTTTTATCATTTAAGTGCTGTAAAAGACTCATTAATATATGTTAAAAGGATTCTTTTGTTTGCTTTTAAGTTTGTTTAATATTTCTCTCTCTCTCTCTCTCTCTCTCTTTCTCTCTCTCTCTCTCTCTCTCTGTATGTATGTGTTTGTGTATGTGAATGTGTGCCATATCCACTCCCTTGGAGACTAGAAGAGGACAATGGATCTCTTGAAGCTAGAGTTATAGGTCGTTATAGCCCCTTACATGAGAAATGGGAAATTACTTCAGGTCCAATGGAAGAACCACAAGCACTCCAAACTGCTGACATATCTCTCCAGCCCCAAGGTAAATGTGGTACATAAATATTAGATGAAGGGGCAACAGGAGCCCACAGCCTAGAGTCTGGAACTGAATAAGGGGAGGAAGCAGCTGAGCAACCGCATTTATCACTCACCCTCCTGACTGTGCATGCAATGGCTCCAGCTGTCTCCCAGTGCTGCCACCATGGTCCCCACCATGATGGACTGGACCCTCAAACTATGAGCCAAAACATTCCCTTCCTTCCTCAGAAGAATTAACAGAAAATGAGCTCTTTAAAGGAAAACAAAACAAAACAACTTTCCTAATTATGTACTGTTACAAGATGGAAGTACGTTTATTAACAGGATTTATTTTCTCAGCAAATTTACAACATTCTTTCTTTCTTTTTTTCCTTTATTTCTGTCCTTCCTTTTCTTAGACAGATAGTCCCAGAGGATGCCACCAAGCATTCAGAAGGATAGGAGGTTACAAGCATACAAATGTTACACTAAGACACACTTTCCCTCTACCAAGTAACACATTAGGTCACCATGGGTCTGGGGATGGACATTAGACTCTGACATGAGCCAATTCATGAAATCACCAATTCCTTCTCATGGAACACATACTCCATTTTGCCAATCCTATTCAATAGGAGTCACTTGAATTCATAGAACTACATTAAGCAGATGTAATGCCAAAAATTTGTATTTCCAGAGCAGGAGAAAAACAAAAGACAAGGTCAAAAACTCCTTCCCAGTTTCCTTCAGAATGTAGTTACAGCAGGTCTGTTCCTTGCTCACTGGCTTGCTGCAATACTTTGTTTGGCTATTGACATATCCTACTGCATTGTGACTTCCATGAAGTAAAAACTCACGAATCTTTTTCATTCTTTTTTTTTTTTT